TGATGGTGATATATGGTGATATAGATGGAGATGTTAATGGTAGAATTCAAGTTGGTTGGTTGAAGTGGAGGAATGCCTTGGACCTTTTGTGTGATAGAAAAGTACCGCTTAGACTAAAAGTAAAATTTTATAAGACGGTGGTGAGACCTGCAATGCTCTATGGCGTTGGATGTTGGTCTTTAAAAGAGAAACATAATACTAAGTTAAGTGATTCCGAGATGAGAATGATTAGGGAATGAGAATGAGATGAGTGGCGAGTGGCTTTACGCTTAGAGACAAAATGCAAAATGAATATATCCATGATAGGATTGGTGTAGCTCCTTTGACGGCAAAAATTAGAGAAAGCCGTCCTAGATGGTTTGGTCATATTAAACGTCGACCATCTGATGATCTGATTAAGAGAGTAGATGTTTAGATTCGACTTATGTTAAGAAAGGTCAAGGTAGACCTAGGAAGACTTGGGCTTATTGTTTAAAAAATGATCTTAATTTATTAGAACTAAATGAAAATATGGCACTAAACAGGACGCAATGGAGAAAAAGGGTTCATGTAGCCGACCCCACGTAGTGGGATTAAGGCTTTGTTGTTGTTTTTGTTGTTGTATTGGATTGAACTCTATTGTGCTATAAATGTCATATTGTTAGACTATAAGGTTGCTCTCCAATAGATGTTTAATACACATTCTCCCTACATCTCACATTTTTCTATTTATTTTCATATTACATTTACCCAAAGAACGACAAAACTTTTCATATACTATCTATCGATGATGCATATGTTATTTAGGCTTCATTTGTGATAGTATTTCTACTACTTTTGTGATGAGAAAAACAGCAAACAAGAAGTGAATGTCTATTCGGATAGGAGCTTTTTACAACTTTTTCAAATACTGCCTCAGAAAAGTTGCTTTTAAGAAAGCATATTTGAACTTCATATTTAGGAATTTAATTTTAAATAAGCATAAACCACCCCATATAAACACTTTTTCTTTTTCTTTTTCTTTTTCTTTTTTTTTAATATATGTGCTTAAGCTCTCTAGGTAAATATTTTCAAAGCTAAACTTAATAAAACCATTAGAGAACTTCTCCATCAATATGCCATTTTTCTACTAAATTTATTAAAAAACATTATGCCCATTGTAAACAAGAAACAAAGATATTGTAGCATTCAACTACATAACCCAGGCTACAAACATTGGACCTACTTGACAAAAGCCTCAACAATGCACATCTATTTCACATAGCCCTATTTCATGTCAGTATATATGTAGCACTAGAGTAAAATAGCATTTTTGCACTTCATAGCTGACTACATGTGCATTGGGTCATCCTGTCTTTTATAAGATCCATTTTATTTCCCTCTTAATCAGTTTACCATGCAATGCATAGAGAAATGGCATATTGGCTCTGAAAATCCATTTAAGTGCAATTATAAGGCATCTCAATTCCTTGAATATTCACAATACCTATTCCCAACAATGGGTATCTAAGAGGCTTTTGACATACCATTAGATCCCTTCTTCCCAACTTAGGTAATTTTCCACTAGTGACTCGAAGTGATTTTAACTACCGTTATCTCTCCCTCTAGACAAAAGTTGAGTAGTCCTTATCGCTGGGCAATCCCCTCATTACAAAATGTAAAGCCCATATTTCTACAACCATGCTAAGTCATCCAATCGTTTCTCTTGTGTGCTTGATATCCAGTGGACCTATCACCTTTTGACTAAACCAAGTACTTAGGTCCCCTAATGCTGAATCAAGAACACAAATGAATATCCTTAATTGAGATAGTTTTTGGGCAGCATGGATAATAAACTATGGAGGCTTGCGCCATAAACAATTAGTACCCACAATCTTTAAACTTAGTTCGATATCTCATGCCACAATGAGAAAATCAATTGAAGATTCCTCTGATTTTTTTCTTTATTAACTCTCATGTTGGAGAAAAGACCAAGTAGGTCAGTTAAGCAAAAACTAGTTGAACTACTATTTAAACAAAAAAAAAAAGACGATTACATTTACATATTTAAACAAAATCCAATAAGCTACCTAAGAAACAATATAAAAGTATTGATCCTATCCTTGAAAGCTCATGTTCATGATGTTATAAAAAACAGATCAAAAGTTGAACAGGTGACCGCTGATCTCCATTTGAAAAATTAGACCAACAGTTCAACAATACTGCCGTTGGTTGTTTGAATAGAAAAAGTTTACTCAAGATTTTTTAAGCCAAATTAAGGTATGGACATGTTCAGCTCACCATCAATTCTCATCCATACACTTCGATTTTTTTTTTTTTTTTTGTTCTGTTTATAATGGGTCTTTTTTTTTTTTTTTTTTTTTTTTTGTTCTGTTTATAATGGGCGGTTAAATACATATAATAAAGAGCAATGGATAAATCCTTAATTAAATTTGGCTTGGAATATTCTAACTCAATATTTTTTTTCCCTACTTTGTGGTAGTGACGTTTTATATCCTATTCAATCAAAACCACAAATCTGACTGCAGATGTCATACCAACAGGTTAAAATGACTGGTCAATCAGTCGCTCTAGCTAATTGAAACTAATTTTACCAGGTTCAAGAGGTACATTGGTTCAATAAATTTCAGCAAACAAGAACACGACGTCTCGTTCCTAACAAAATTGATAAAATGGTAATTAACCATCATAAACTAGACAAACCTACATATAAAGTGACCTGTTGCCAGTAGAAACAATGGCAAATGCCATATCTAGTTGCAAAAGCTGCATCTTCAAATTATCACCAAGTAAAAGAAATGGAAGAAATCATGAACCCAAAAAGAAATATAGAGCATGAGGCATAAATTCTTCAGTCAGAAGAAGATAAATACAATTTTCAAAGCACATGTCTGCTAGTGAAACAAGATACCTAAATAGCATAAGAAAAAAAATGCATATAGGGAGAGGCTAAAATCTTGCTGAAGTACGATAACTACCGAAGAAAAATTTTAGTTGGATAAAAAAATGTACATGAAATTGAAAAAACCAAGAAAAGTAGCAGGTTAAAATAATTTTTTTAGTGGGGGCCGTAAGATAATATGATCATAAAGTATATTTCGAAGATTCGTATCATTTCAATTACATTTCACTTACAATTTTCTCTCCTTCAATTGTGTTTTGAAAATTATTATACAATTCCTTCATTAAATATATTTTTAATACATATAAATATGTTAACTAGACAATAACATCCAAGAGTTTCCTAATAACACTAATTGGAGCAATGAGCTCAACCAAAAAAGGATTTATTGTAATTTTTTTTTTCCAGCAAACAGGATCTTCATTAATCAGCCGAAGGAATACAAGAGACAAAAAACAGACAAAGTAAAAAATCTCAATGACAGGCTGACAAAAGGAAGACAAAACAGTCTCCATGAATCATCAAAGCTAGCTCAGGAGATGGGGAAGTATCATATTGATACCACATTAGAAGCACCAACCTTGGCTAGGAAATTAGCAGGTCTATTAGCCTCCCTCAGTGTGTGAGACTAGACAGCATTGAATTTAGGAAGGAGATCAGCAATTCTTCTCCAGATGACATGTAGGGACAAAGGACAGCAAGATTTACAACTGCACATATTAAAAATCAATAAGGATTCTGTATCATTATAAATGAATTTCCAAATTAACTTGACAGCCAGCAATAAGGCGTAAATCACAGCCAACAGCGAGAGCAAGGGGAGAAATAGGACAGCAAGGAGAAGAGAATAAGAGAAGGCAATGCCCCAAATGATTTCTGAAAAAGCCACCAATCCCAGCTTTGCTAGTACAAAAACTGCCATCAATGTTCACCTTTACGTAAGGCCTAATTGGTTTAGCCTGAAAATAAGCTTCGTGAAGTTTTTGTAATGGGAATTGAGAGGAATGGACCGAACACCACGCCCTTCCCTTTAAAGTCAGTGGCTCTAGAATTGCTGAAGGAAATAGATTTAGAGATGAAAGATTTATTATTCCTATTTGCCCTCGCAGGTGAGATCTGACAGTTATCATGTTTAGCGCTATTTCTGGCAAGCCAAATGAACCAGCAAAAAATAAAAGGGACTAGTTTCTAGAAATGTGCATCGACTTTGTGAGGTTTTCTCCAGTAATCCAAACAATGGTCCAAGGATCTATATCAATCAGTAGGCATTGAGACAACAAATAATTCCTTGATTTCGTTCCAGATTTTGATAGTAGAGTAGCAGGAGAAAAAAAATATGGAAAAACTCTCCTCCATTTTACAAAGCTGATGGATGGAGGAAAACATGAGGCCCTTAAGCTTTAGAATATAATCAGTAGGAAGCAGCTGTAAGAGCATTCTCAAAGTGAAGAAGAACTGAGAAGGCTTAAGGAAACGGTTCCAGATTCTGGTTCCCCAAGAAACCTGGTGGGATGGAACATATTTGTTAGCAATTAATTGGGAAATAAAATCAGTGGCAGACATTTTGTTTCTCATCTTCTCGGTCACTTAAGTTCAATAGGGATAGTGCTAATTAAATCCACAAGATCATCATCAATAAGCTGACTAATTTTATGTATATCCAACAGCCATCAGAACAAGTATCAGCAACCAGAAGATCTTGTGAATACACCCCAGTAGCAGAGTTTGCAAGAGGGCCACATAAGGTCCACTCATCTAGCCAAAAATTAATATCGCATTTCCCCAGTTCCCGAGCAATAGATACAATTTTTAATGCCAATGAAGCCTACAGAGAAAATAAAATGTAATTAGGTGGCCTGGAGGCACCATCCTTGGCGTATGCCTCCATTATGCAGCCTCCCATGACCAAGAGATACGAGAAAAAACTGTCATACACATGTTCTCCATTATAAAATTAACCTTGCAAAACAAATTTAACAAAAATTTAAAAAAAATCATTAACATTAAAGAAAATAGAGCCTGGGAAAGCTTGATATCAGCAAGTTTCATGTTTTCTGACTAATATCATCCAATGAATGAACCATATAATCGAACAAAATAGAAAAAGAAGTAAATTCACCTGGATGTATTCGACAAAGTTACTCAGTAAACCCTGAGTTTCCTCTTGATTTTCACTTGCTGTAGTACCTTCTGCATCAATAGAAAATTCCCCTTTCCATTTCTCAAATTCCAAAGCAGCAGCAGCATCCTCCTTTGCTCTCTGAGCTAGAGCTTCTTCTTCCTAAAACAGCTTACAGAATGTTATAATTACATGAATTTAACTAGCTCTGTGTTTTGTGGTCTGACTGATGAAAGCAAGTACAGCAAAAATCAACCATAGCACGCTCTCTTGCTTCACGATCCTCATCCTTCCTTCTCCTCAATTCTTCATAGCGATCTTGCTTTGTTTTTCTAGATTCTCTTGCAGCATCCTCAGCCTTAAAAGGAAATGTGATTTTACAAAATGTTTTTTTATAAAAAAAAATATAGCCACAAGAAAGGAATATTTAAAAGACGATAACCTGTCTTTGTGCTTCACGCTCTTGTCTTTTCCTCTCTTTTTTTGTCGAAGCTTTAGCAACATAATTATCATCCTCAGGAACCTCATCGTCACTTCCAGAAGGAAGATCTGATAATCATAATTACTATAATATTAAAATTACGGCCAACCTTCTATCAAATAGAATAAGAGTTCATCATGAATAATGCAAGCAAATCAGGTTGATTTTAAACCAGTTCAATCTGCATTTCCTCCCCACCCACCCAACATGAGATAAAATATCAGCAACAAATGCCTTTTGCTCAATTCATGTATCTGGTTATAAAATGGCATTCTTATTGTGAGAAAATCTAAAAGAATAATGTTGATTTCAATCAATTCTAATTACAAGCAACCAGAGGTTTATATAAGTGTTATAGAGAGAAAAAAAGGAAATTTACACAGGAAATGAAAGTTAAAATAATAAATAAAGTTCATTTGAATGAGAGATTTCTCTAATCAATAATTTCAAAATCCAGATATTAATTTGAATTGTTGCCACGAGTAGCCATTCAGGGATGGAAATTGCATGAAAATTTTAATTCTGACACTTGCTATCCTTAGCTCGAATGATAGACATGTTCTCATTAAGAGAAACTACATCATCTTTCTCGGGATTTAAATTCTAACTCAATCAAAATATACATTAAGGCCCTCAAGAAAGTAAAAGACTGCATTATCCTAAATAAATTTTATCACAATAATCACATCCTCGTTGCGCTTCAATTTGATGGCTCAGTAGTGTTTTAATTCTTGCCACATTCTTCAAGAGCTAAGCATATTTTGTGATAGGTGTATTACCTTATTATATAGTGGTAGTATTCATTTTAATCTCAAATATAAGGAATGCATCCTTTGATTTCGAATATGTTTGTCTTAAGGAATCACAATGGTCTTTTATATTGGTTAAAAATATACATGTGTCAGTGATTTCTAGTCATTACATTCCATAATCATGATATTATCAAGGAATATTTCTCATCCTAAACATCAAATATTGCATCTCCTTAATTAGGTTTGATACCTAGCATTTCATTTAGTTTCCCTTTCCCTTTAAGAAAAGCTCGAATTAGTTCAGATCATATTAAGTAGTTCTTTTCCATTTAAAAATTACTAGAAGATAAATTAGGAATTATTTGTTCAGATATTTAATAAATAGATGTCATTTTGAATAAGAGAGATCGACAACAGGATGGATGCAGAGATCAACAGCAAAAGAAATCAACAGCAGAGCTTAAGAATGAGTAAAAAAAATAAGCAAAGGACACCGACTACAGGTTGACATCGAGAAGAAATTGACACACAAAAAACAAAGATGAGCACAGATCAACAAGCAAACATTTATAAGCAAAGTTTGAAAATGAGACCAATAGAGCAAAAATCAATGACAAGGAGCATCAGCACAACAGATGGTGGTCATAAAACTTGAGAAGCAAGAATAAACCAAAATGCCTAATGTCCAAACACCATGTGAGAAAATCTAAGGAACCGTTTAATCTCCCTTAATTCTAATTACAAGCAGCACGTCCAATATTAATAGAAAAATAAAAGAACACAATACTTAGTTTCAGTTATTACAAATAAAGTGCCGTTGAACTAGTTTGAGTTATTACAAATAAGAAGTCATTCATGGAATAGTCATGTTGGACTGTTTTAATTCTAGCACTTGCAGTACTTAGTTTTTTATATAGAAAATCAATCCAGTTTTAAGCAGCATGAACACTTTCTAGCACATTAAAAAGTAGACTTAATCAGATTGGTAAAAGTTTACTGAGGGAGATTAAATTTAACAATTAAATGCAAAGAAGATTTAGTTTTTATAAGAAACCAACAATGGTCATGTTAGCCAGAGTCATGCATACAGCCTTTTTTTCTTAATTCAAATTTTTCTTTTATTTAAATTTAAGGAAGAAATAACTTTGGAAGAGCACGATGATAAAATAGTAAAATAAAATAAATATATTCTAAATTGATCCAAAAAAGTGAGTTGGAGTTTGGTCTGAAAATTTTGTATAAAGATAAGACTATAAATAAAGATAAAATACCTATTTAGATTTCGAGAGTATTAGAAAATAATGCAGTGATTTTGAAGATTTGATGGAATTTTAAAGAATAAGATTAAATAATTGGAGAAGAAACATTTGAGCACCAACATTTAAGAACAAAGAAGATACTCGAGATTATGCTAACTATAGATAAACCAAACTTATGAGTCATATAATGAAGCCATGAGATAGAATAACGATATATAAGCTTATAAAAATTACATTAATTTCAGTTACAACTTTGGTTTCCAGTTAGAAAGATAAACTATAAAGCAATTTTTATGTCAAGATAATTAACAGGAAGTTCGGAGAATAGATAAAAGATATTCATATGATACAAATTAATCGTAAGAAGGCACATAATCAAATAGCAAAGGAATTTATTGGCTGTGGTCCACGGCAAAGAAGTATATACCAAAAGTATGCTCTCCATAAATAAAGATTTGTTTAATAACACATCAACTGATATTTTTTATAAAAAAAATCACAATATATTTACTCAAGAATAATGGGAGTACATGAAGAATATTTACCAACAAATGCTAGAGAAAAAGAAAAAAAATATACAAGGAAGACAAGATACAAAGATTTCATTTCGATTGCCTAGCATGAAGCCTAGTGAAATGAGAGAGTAGTGCTAATTTTTTTCTGATTCATATCATTTCTGGTATAAAGAATGTGAAGTATTTTATACACCAGAGAGTAAATATTTTGAATGCTTTCAATCAGAATCAAAAGCATGTTTTGATAAATAATCATCATTTTGATTTTCAAAACATTAGCCACAAATCAGCCAAGAACTTGCAAATTACCCAGAAATTAAGAGAAAATTTAATAGTGAGAAAGCAAAAGGTCTCGCAAGCAAAAAAAATTTCATCATCATAAAAGAAATGAGTAGACTTTCCTTGAAAGGCGATCTTCCCAAAAGTCCTTGCTAGTACGACCGCTATCAGTCAGACAATCCCCCCATTCCATTACAGGCTAATAACCAACCTTATATATTAAAATAAAAAAATCAAATCAAATCCACCTCTAGGCTCTAGAAAACATGAAAAAAATATATCAAATTTGTGGTTTTGCCATAACTACAATGAAAATACAGTAGCTACAGCAAACTCACTGTAGCTATAGTGAAATAATCAATTATTAACTTCTAAGACAATAAAAATTACATCCATTTTCTTACCAAATGAAATCGAGCTACAAGAGAGAAGCAGAAGTCGTGAGTGAGCGACGGTTGCGCTGCTGAGCAGTCGTCTACATGCGAGAGAGGAAGCAAACAGCGGTTACAGGATCAACACCTGCGAGATCTACAAGCGGGAGAGAAGCGGGCCGCATAGACACCTGTGGGATTGTCTACATGCAAGAGAGGAAGCAGACGGCGCCTGCAGGATCTTCTGCGTGCGAGAGAGGACGCCTGCAGAATCGACAATTGCGGGCTCGTCTGCATGCGCGAGAGACTCATGAATGAGGTAGGTCTGGAAAATTAGGGATTTTTTTTATCCGATTCAAAAGTAGGGTGTACGCGTCGCAAACATATTCAGGGTGTTCCCGTGCGTAAACCTTGTGAGGTTTACATCCCCCCGTGGGCTTGGGGCGAATTGGCTCACGCCTCGTCCAGAGGCACGCATTGCCCCATGCGAGAGAGGAAGCAAACAGCGGCTACGAGATCTACGCCTGCAAGATCTACATGCTGGAGAGAAGCAGGCTACGCAAACGACTATGGGATTATCTACGTGCGAAAGAAGAAGCACAAAGTGCTCGTGGGATCAATGCTTGCAGGATCTTCTGCGTGTGAGAGAGGACACCTGCGGAATCGTGTGAGAGAGGACACCTGCGGAATCGACAATTAAGAGGTCATCGCATGCAAGAGAGACGTGTGAATGAGTTAGGTCTAGAAAATTAAAGATTTTTTTATCCGATTCAAAAGTAGGGTGTACGCCACGTGGGGCGCAACATACCCACGTGAACACGTTCAGGGTGTTTCCGTACGTAAGCCTCGTGAGGTTTGCATCCCCCTCATGGGCTTGGGGAGAATTGGCTCGCGCCTCGCCTAGGGGCACGCCTCGCCCCGGAAACGCCCTTTAAAACAGAGGTAATGATGCACAGGATTCTTCGAAATACTAATGGTGATTTGATTTCCACAAAAAAAGTTTATGGGATTGACTGTGGAACATCACAATTCATTATTTTTTGAACCTGCATTTTTTCATATCTCGTTCTCTTATTTTGCACTATTTTTAGAGACCACTACTTGCTTCTTGCTCCTCCATGTAATATGATTTTCTCATACATAGGAACAATACACAAATGTTGATCTTTAGCCTGTGAGTTCTCCTACCCAACTAGCATCAGTATAATCATCGACAACTCTATTGTCTAATTTCATAAAAATAACCCTCTTACAGGGGACTTCTTAAGAAATCTCAATATTTTATAAATCATCTCCAAATGATCTTGATTTGAACTATTCATATGTTAACTCGCGATACTGACAGAATAAGTTATATCAGATCTAGTGTGTGACAAGTATATAAACTTTCCAACTAATATATGGTATGTACTTTTTTTGCTAGTATTTTTTCTCCGCTTGAATATAACTTTTTTTTTGTTGAAATCTATAGAAATCTCAACAGATTTATACCCCAGCATTCGTATCTCGTTTAATAGATCAAGATGTACATTCTTTGGGATGTCATAATTCCCATCTTGTACCTAGCCACTTCAACAACCAAAAAGTATCTCAGAGCTCCTAAATCCTTAATCTCAAATTTAGTGACAAGAACCTCTTTAATCTTCTTAATTTCTTTTTCATCATCACTTTTCAGGACCATATCATCTACATAAACAATGGGTATAACATTTTTATCTCCTTGTGTATGTTCTATAAATAGTGTATGATCAACTTGGCATTGGGTGTACCCATCAGATTTCATAGTCTTGGCAAACTTGTCAAACCAAGTCCGTGGAGATTGTTTGGGGGCATAAAGTGACTTTTTAAGTTTACAAACAACATATTTATTTGAAATATATTTTAATCCTTGT